CTGGAAAACTGACTCTTACCGATCATATTTATATTATTAACTTATTGTAAATGCACTTTTTGTTTTATTGTTCTGTAGGTTTTAATAATTTATTAACTTTGTAATTTTTGTGTTATCTTATCATAAACATTATAAATTACAAAAAGTTTTGTTTTATTCTTTATTTTGTCGTCTGTTTTTCACAAACAGTTTTAAAATTTTGATGGGTACATATTTTTTAAGTTAAATCCAATAAATTTTAAAACTTTTTATTTGGATTTATATTTTAATACAATTTCGTTAGTACAAAAATTGAAGAATCGTTATAATTCGTAAGACAGATTAATGAGTACTTGCTAATTTCATATTCTGGACTAGTATGGTATTTGGTAAATAGTAGTAATCTGGTGAATCGTGTATATCGTACAGCAGATGGATGCGGATTATTAATGTCTATCCGCAAATACGGATAAATACCTCGTATTTGGTTTGATTTTGTCCATAGATTAGGATTTTGTTTTTGTTTAGATTACTCCAGGAGAAGACACCCCTGAAGGGAGGTAGTGTCGGATTTTTACCGACTAAAACCCCTCCTTGAGTGGAGAGATAAACCTGAAGGTTGCTCATCCCCGAGAAAGAAATGGTAAAGTTGGGATTGGGAAGACTACTGAGTTAGGAAAGTTAGGAAGTTAGGAATTTTGTCTATGGATTTTATAGTGCAATAGGTGCAACAAATTTCCCCACTTTTAAAAGTTATGTTATTACCATAGATAATAAGTTATTATTGTCAAAAAACGCTGTCGAAATTACTCGTTCTCCAATAAAATCAGTCCACGATTTCTAACCTATTAAGTTAGACGGTATACTAAAATGCGATAAGTTAAAATCTTATAAAAATCTGCACAAGGTGGTAAAGTGGGATACAAAAAAATGTTTCATCAAAGCGTGTTGTCTTTTCTTTTTAGTAAGTAATCTACAAATGTTGAAAATTGAAACTTTTCATTCAAAAGATTTTTATCGAAGTTTTAGGTGCTCTAACTCTAACGTCTGCTTTGTATAGTTCTAATTCTGATGTTATTCAGTTAACGTCGAAAAATTTCGATTCCTTAGTTTTAAGTAGTGACGATATATGGATAGTGGAGTTCTATGCCCCTTGGTGTGGTCATTGTCAACAATTTGCACCCGAATTTCAAAAAGCTGCGAAAGTGTTAAAGGTAATTGTTTTAGTATTTATTGTATTATTGTTTGAATCTTTTATCATGATTTTTTGTGTTCTGTAGGGTATTGTAAAAGTAGGAGCAGTAAATGCTGATGAAGAAGGTTCATTAGGAGGAAATTATGGAGTTCGAAGTTTTCCAACAGTAAAGATATTTGCTGCTGATAAAAAGAAACCAGAGGATTACAATGGAGGAAGAACTGCTCAAGCACTAGCAGATGCTGCAGTATTAGCTATTAAAAATAAAATAAATGCTAAGTTGGGAGGAAAACAGAGTGGATCAGGCTCAAAGGTATATTCATATTGGAAATTTTCACTAAGTATCATTTGTCGTTACATATTAAATTTTAGTCTGGCAGTGATAAAGATGTTATAGAATTAACTGACAGTAATTTTGATAAACTGGTGTTGCAATCTGATGATATGTGGTTAGTTGAATTTTTTGCACCTTGGTGTGGTCATTGCAAAAATCTTGCTCCTCATTGGGCAGAAGCAGCTACAGAATTGAAAGGAAAGGTAAAATTGGGAGCTTTAGATGCAACTACATATACTTCTAAAGCTGCTGAATATGAAGTGAAAGGGTATCCAACAATAAAGTATTTCCCAGCTGGTAAAAAAGATCATTCTTCTGTCCAAGACTATGATGGTGGAAGAACTGGCAGTAGCATTGTTAATTGGGCTTTAGAAAAGTTAGCTGAAAATATTCCAGCACCAGAACTTGTTGAAGTAAGTATAAAAAGTATATACCCAAAACTTAATTTTAATTTCTTATATTTTAGATAACAAATGAAGCAGCATTTAAAGAAAATTGTGACAAACCATTGTGTGTTATATCAGTATTGCCACATATTTTAGACTGTCAGTCAAAATGTAGAAATAATTATTTAAAAATTCTACAAGAAATGGGAGAAAAATTTAAGAAGAAAATGTGGGGGTATGTATTTAGCACTGTGTAAAATGCCTTTTTCATAATTTATTTTTGTATTTTAGATGGTTGTGGACAGAAGCAGGAGCCCAACGTTCTTTAGAAGATGCTTTAGATATTGGAGGCTTTGGGTACCCTGCAATGGCTGTTGTCAATGCCAAAAAGTTGAAATATTCAATATTAAGAGGACCTTTCTCAACAGAGGGTATTAGTGAATTTTTAAGGTAATTAGATGATCAATTTTTTTGTATTTTTATCACTGAAGAAATTTAAAAGCTATGTTATTTATATTTTAGGGACCTATCTTATGGAAGGGGAAATACTGCTCCACTGAAAGGAGCACAGCTACCTAACATTGAGTCTGTTGATCCATGGGATGGAAAAGATGGAGAATTCCCAACAGAAGAAGATATTGACTTGTCTGACATAAGTTTAGATGAGAAAGATGAATTGTAAATGTGTCATCTGACTGTTTCTACTTAACCAATTTAAACTGATTAGTTTTGGTTTCTTTATTTGTATGTTACTTTAGTGTTAATTATGTTTGGTAAACTTCATGGCTTCCATTAAAATTACAAATTATATGTTTTGAATGTACGTACATATTTCCAAACCATCACAGTAGTTTTAAGATTGTCTAATAAAAATTAATAAACAGTTTCTGTTTCATTAATTTTTTCATAATAGCTTTGTTTGCCAAGTAATACATAACTTAATATCTAAGTACTGTCAACGTCATTTAAAAAAACTTTTTCTGTGTTTATTCAAATCGTAGTTTATAAATAGCGGGTTTGATTAAATCAGCAGAACTACAACAACTAATCAATAAATAGTTCTTATACTCCGTAGAGACAAGTAACAAAAATGATGATGCTATCATAACCTAAAAAAATTTAAATGTAACAATGCAATCTCTGCAGTCTTTTTACTTTATATTTTATATTCAATAAAACGTACTCTATCTAAAAATCGTTAACTTTACAGGTAATTAAAATTAAAGAATACCAAATGGCTTGACAGTGAAACAGTTTTTCGGAAAAGTCTGGAAAACAATCTTCAGAAATCAATTTAAATGGCATGTCACTTAAGTGAAAATGTCTCAACACAGATTTTTACACCTAGGGAATATCAAGTGGAGTTGCTGGACTCGGCGAAAAATAAAAATATCATTATTTGTTCCAGTAGTAGTATTGCAAAAACATTCATAGCAGTCAAACTTGTTCAAGAATTAGCCTATGATATACGCTTTAAAAGGGGCAAGCAAGCAGTATTTGTCTTAGATTTACAAAACGTTGTTGTTATAGAATCACACATGAAATTACTCACAGATTTAACTGTGGTTAGTATAAAAGAATGCATTAATAGTTACACAGAATGGAAGGATCATAGTGAAGCTGCAGTAATAGTGACAACTGCTGAAGTATGTGCAAAATTGTTATCTGACAACTATTTAACATTTGAAAAATTAAATTTGTTAGTTGTGGATGACTATTTGTATGGAGAAAGGCAAGTCCATGTAAAGCACATTATGAAATATTATCATTTAAGTAGAGTATGTAATACAAGGATAATTGGTCTAGCAGCAGGACTTCTGGGAGCAGAACTGAAACCTGATTGTTTAGAGTCAGAGCTACGACGTTTAGAAAATTTGTTGTGTTCATCTGTAGATACATCCAGTGAATTAGTTACATTGTTAAGATTATGCTCAAAACCTAGGGAAAATTTAATAGAATGTGAAGTTGAAAAATGTTCGACTCTTCAAGAAGTACTAAAGGAAAAGATTTTAGAAACTAAGGAATTTTTAATAGATCATCGTTTTGATCCAAGTGAAATATATTCAGATGAATTCCTTGAAGAACTTTTAGCGCTACCTGATCCCAAGATAGACCCTTTAAATATTTTAGACATATTCCTACATATATTAGAAGATCTTGGTCCCTGGGCTGCAGATCAAGCCGCTCTTAGTTTGCTTACATACATAGAAAAATTAAAAGTAAAAGTTCCTTATGAACGTCATTTCATTTTGCTTTGCATGATCTCTACAGTTATGGTAAGAATACGGGCAATATGTGACTGGGAGTTTCAAGACTTATCAGAAATGGAAAAAATATTGCGCTACTCAACAAAAAAGGTTCTTAACTTACTAGATATAATTAGACAATTTAAACCAAATTCTGAACAAATAATTGAAACAAAAGATGAAGCAAAACTTGAAGATAATATCTTAAAAATTAATGGAGATAATGAAAACTGCGACAATCCTGCTGAAAATTTAAAAAATTTTTCAATCAATCAGAAAAGTAGTATATCAAACAATAACTTTAATATGCAAACAAAAAACAAAAGGGCATATAGAATTTACCGGCGTAGTAATTATACTAGAGTTCAACAAGATGATAATTTATGTGCTATTATTTTTGTTCATAATCGATTTACTGCTAAAGTTCTGTATTCACTGCTGTATGTAAGTGGTATATTAAGGAACTAGTCTCTCAAATTCTAAATTTTGATTTTTTCAGAATGTTAGTCAAAATGATGAAGAAATGTGGTGGGTATCTGCTCTCTACACTGTGGAGAAGACAGCTGATCCATTAAAAGAGCCCCGCGAAGCTGAACTAGAGCATCGACGCCAAGAAGAAGTTTTACGAAAATTTAGAATGCACAGCTGTAATATTATGGTAGCTACTTCTGTTCTCGAGCAAGGCTGTGATTTGCCCAAATGTAATCTCGTCATTTGTTTTGATTTGCCACTATCTTTTCATAGCTACGTTAAAACAAAAGCGCGAGCTCGAGCTGCAGATGCATACTATTTGTTATTATCCAACGAAACGGAATTGAATAAATTTGTCGAGCATTTATCAGAATATAAGGAAGTTGAAAATATTTTGTTAAAGCATTGCCAGGTTTTAGAGCCTGATGAGCAGGAATGCATCGAAGCAGATTACTACTGTGCTTCTGGTCCTCTCTACCAACCGCTTAATATACCCGGTGCTCCTTCTGTAACCCTAATGAATGCAATAGCACTTATAAATAGATATTGCGCAAAATTACCAAGCGATACATTTACTCGTTTAACACCGTTGTGGTCGATTCTTAAAACGCAACATCAATTTTCCTGTTGTCTTCGTCTACCTATCAACTCTCCATTAAAAAATAAAATAACTGGTCCTCTAATGCCTAATGAGCTCCTCTCTAGAAGAGCTGTTGCGTTTATTACATGTCAGATGCTTCATAAAATCGGTGAATTAGACGACTATCTTCAGCCTATAAGCAAAGAAAATTTTCGAACAAGTGAAGACGACTGGAATAAATTTGCTCTTGAGGAAGCAGATGAAGAGCTAAACAGGGAAAATATCGAACCACGACCAGGAACTACGAAACGCAGACAGTACTATTACAAAAAAGTCGCGAATTCTCTAATGCATTGTAAACCGAATCCTGGTGAAGCAACTTTCCTTTATAAAATTGTCATGACATTAACGTGTCCTTTACCAGAGGAACAGAATACACGAGGAAGAAAAATATATCCACCAGAAAATTTTGTACAAGGATTTGGTATCTTAACTTCAAAAGAAATTCCAACTGTAAGTGAATTTTGAGAGTCCTAATTAATTAGGATTAACGTAATTGTTCCTGGTTATTTAAAAGAAAAATTATATTCATACAGAAACTTATGTTGCAAAAAATGTATATTTTAGATTTGTCCATTTCCAATTTTTACGAGGTCCGGAGAAGTTAGTGTAGAATTGAAGTTATGTTCTTCAGATATAGTAATGACTGATGAACAAATTCATAAAATAAGCGAATTTTTAAATTACACATTCTCTAACGTTTTGAAATTACAAAGGTACTTAATGCTGTTTAATCCAGATGCTTCAGAAAGTTCGTTCTTGATTGCACCAACAAGAGATAGTGAGTAAATTTATAAAACTGTTTGGCAATATAAAGAAGTATAATTTAATATATAATATATACATAATTTTAGCTTCTAATGGTAGTGCTATTGTTGACTGGGATTTTTTAAATATTATTTATGAAAATAGGTACATATTACCACAAACAGTACCAGAAACGACTAGAAAAGAGTACAGATTTGATCCCAATAATTATAAAGATGCAGTTGTGATGCCATGGTACCGTAATCAAGATCAGCCGCAGTACTTTTATGTTGCTGAAATTTGCTGCAATCTCAATCCTAAATCAAATTTTCCGGGCTCTGAATATGCCACATTTGAAGAATATTATCTACGAAAGTATGGAATACAAATCCAGAACAGTGAACAGTACTTATTAGATGTTGATCACACTTCAGCCCGTCTTAATTTTTTGACCCCCCGTTATGTAAATCGTAAGGGTGTTGCTTTACCCACGAGTAGCGAAGAAACAAAGCGTGCAAAACGGGAAAACTTGGAACAAAAACAGATTCTAGTACCTGAATTATGTGCTATACATCCATTTCCTGCATCTCTTTGGAGGAAAGCAGTTTGTCTCCCTTGTATTCTTTACAGAATAAATGCATTACTTTTAGCCGATCAAGTGAGACGGACTGTAGCGGTTGAACTTGGATTAGGCAAAATTGAACTCCCAAAAGGTATGTTTCCGTCGTTAATTGTTTGTCATTGTGTCAATTTTCTTTCATATTTCGTTTTATTAGATTTTAAATGGCCTTCTTTAAATTTTGGATGGAGTTTGAGTGATGTTTTGAAGAAAACCAAAGAGATAGAATTGGCGAAAGACAGTATAACTCAAGTTAAAGAAATTGATGTGGTTGAAATTTCTGCAATCGTTGAAAAAGACTCTAACGATTCTCAAGAACCGAGTGAAAAATCCTTAGTTAAAGAAGATGACAAGGAGAAAGAAGAAGTTGATGAATCAGATTCTGAAAATAAAGATAAGGATTGGATGGAAATAGGAACGTGGTCTAATGATATGGCAGATTCATCTGTTTACACAACCGACAGTATTGTCCGTTATGCATCTCCTACAAGTTGGTTAGATACTCCATATGATTATTCTGATTCTGATGATTCATACAGCATAGAAGAAGAAGAATCTGACTACGAAGGGCTTAAAATTGAATTTATGGGTGATAATACTGCCGAAGCGGTGGACGAAGGTAATGCAATCGAAAACTATACCCAAACATTGGCTATAATCGATACTTGGGATCCTAATAATGCCGATGAGCAATCGGAAGAATTAAAACAGGAGTTTTACGAAAACTGTCGAAAAAATGCCGATCATATCTTGTCAAGTAATGTACTAGTGCCAAAAAATAAACGGTTTTGTAGAGAAACTTACGATAGCTCAAATAAATTAAATGAAACACTTAATACACATTGTGATAATGGAATTAATTTTGAATGTATTGAACTGCCCCAAAAGTCGCTAGTTGTAAACGCAACTTCTAGTCAAAATAATAGCAAAAAGACAATGTGCAATATTAATACGGAATTAAATTTTAGTTTTGATAAGCAACCAGATCTAAAAGAACATCCTGGTCCGAGCCCGAGCGTGTTACTTCAAGCCTTAACAATGTCAAATGCCAACGATGGTATTAATTTAGAACGTTTAGAAACGATAGGCGATTCGTTTTTAAAATACGCCATAACTAATTACCTTTATTCTAAGTATGAAAATGTTCACGAAGGAAAATTAAGTCATTTACGTTCGAAACAAGTGAGCAATTTAAATTTGTATCGATTAGGAAAGTCAAAAGCCTTGGGTGAATCGATGATAGCCACAAAATTTGATCCACATGACAACTGGCTCCCTCCTTGTTACTATGTGCCAAAGGAACTAGAGGAAGCTCTGATGGATGCAAGGGTACCAGCTAATTACTGGACTCCGGCTGATGTTGCTGCCACTAGAGATATGTCTTTAGATGAGATATGCCAAATGGTACGTGAACACGGCGAGGCTTTAAATTTGCCTTGTATTATTCCATATAACTTAGTTACCCAACACAGTATTCCCGACAAAAGTATAGCAGACTGTGTCGAAGCGTTGATAGGCGCTTATTTGATTGAGTGTGGACCTAGAGGAGCCCTCCTTTTCATGGCGTGGTTGGGTATTAGAGTTCTTCCACAAAACAAAAACGGATGTTACGGTGAATTGCAATTACCTTCTTCTCCTTTAATTAACAACGTGGAAAATCCTCTACAAGAATTGGAATACTTATTAGATGGTTATGACGAATTTGAGAATAAAATTGGCTATCATTTTAAAGACCGTGCCTATCTCTTACAAGCCTTAACTCATGCTTCTTATTCACCTAACACAGTAACAGATTGTTACCAAAGACTCGAATTCTTGGGAGATGCCGTGTTAGATTATCTTATAACTCGCCATCTGTATGAAGACTCCAGAATGCATTCTCCAGGTGCATTGACCGATTTAAGATCTGCATTGGTAAATAATACAATATTTGCTTCATTAGCAGTTCGACATGGATTCCACAGATTTTTTAGACACTTATCGCCAGGTAAGTTCTATACTACAACTATTTTTGTTGACATCAGTGATATAATTTGTTGATTAAAAGGTTTACATGAGGTGATCGAACGATTTGTAAGGATTCAAGAAGAAAGTGGTCATGCTTTAGTGGAAGAATTGTATCTCCTTGCGGAGCACGAGTGCGAAGAAGTAGAAGACGTAGAAGTTCCAAAAGCTCTTGGTGACGTTTTCGAATCAGTTGCAGGGGCAATATTTTTGGATTCTGACATGTCTTTGGACGCGGTTTGGAATGTTTATTACAATATGATGCGTAGCGAAATCGAGAGGTTTAGTGACAAAGTGCCTAAGTCTCCTATAAGAGAACTTCTCGAATTGGAACCAGAAACTGCCAAGTTCAGTAAACCTGAGAAATTAGCAGACGGTAGAAGAGTACGTGTGACTGTTGAAGTGTTTGGGAAAGGTGTTTTTAAAGGAATTGGTCGGAATTATCGAATTGCTAAATGTACTGCAGCTAAATGTGCTTTGAAACACTTAAAGAAACGTGGCTTGTTAAGGAAGAATTAGTTATTGCTTTAGATCATACAATAATTTGGAAGAATAAGAACACAAAATATGGAAATGTGTTATTATCGGTATTGGCGAAATGTTACATCAAATTTATTTGTTTTGTGTATTTACAGCTCAAGTTATGCAAAAATTATAAGAAGTGAAACTTCTTTGATGGCAATGAAAGTAATTCGGCAAGCCGCGCGTCGATTGGTCTTATCAAATAACTTACTACAATTTTATACATTTTAGTGTTTATGTAACTAAGAAGTTTCCCTTCTGGTGTGCGTAAGCTGAACAAATTAATTGAAAATAAGCTTTAGGATTCATAAGACCAAACATTCCTCCATCTGTACTTAAAATTCGCATTACCTCAAGAACGAATTTTTATATAAGATTTATTAAAAAAAATATAGTTTTGAATAGTACCTAATTATTTTTTTAATAACAGAAAATACTTATTTTTGGTGTACACTTCATAATAACTTCTAATTCTGATGTTATTCAGTTAACGTCGAAAAATTTCGATTCCTTAGTTTTAAGTAGTGACGATATATGGATAGTGGAGTTCTATGCCCCTTGGTGTGGTCATTGTCAACAATTTGCACCCGAATTTCAAAAAGCTGCGAAAGTGTTAAAGGTAATTGTTTTAGTATTTATTGTATTATTGTTTGAATCTTTTANTTTAAAATTTTGATGGGTACATATTTTTTAAGTTAAATCCAATAAATTTTAAAACTTTTTATTTGGATTTATATTTTAATACAATTTCGTTAGTACAAAAATTGAAGAATCGTTATAATTCGTAAGACAGATTAATGAGTACTTGCTAATTTCATATTCTGGACTAGTATGGTATTTGGTAAATAGTAGTAATCTGGTGAATCGTGTATATCGTACAGCAGATGGATGCGGATTATTAATGTCTATCCGCAAATACGGATAAATACCTCGTATTTGGTTTGATTTTGTCCATAGATTAGGATTTTGTTTTTGTTTAGATTACTCCAGGAGAAGACACCCCTGAAGGGAGGTAGTGTCGGATTTTTACCGACTAAAACCCCTCCTTGAGTGGAGAGATAAACCTGAAGGTTGCTCATCCCCGAGAAAGAAATGGTAAAGTTGGGATTGGGAAGACTACTGAGTTAGGAAAGTTAGGAAGTTAGGAATTTTGTCTATGGATTTTATAGTGCAATAGGTGCAACAAATTTCCCCACTTTTAAAAGTTATGTTATTACCATAGATAATAAGTTATTATTGTCAAAAAACGCTGTCGAAATTACTCGTTCTCCAATAAAATCAGTCCACGATTTCTAACCTATTAAGTTAGACGGTATACTAAAATGCGATAAGTTAAAATCTTATAAAAATCTGCACAAGGTGGTAAAGTGGGATACAAAAAAATGTTTCATCAAAGCGTGTTGTCTTTTCTTTTTAGTAAGTAATCTACAAATGTTGAAAATTGAAACTTTTCATTCAAAAGATTTTTATCGAAGTTTTAGGTGCTCTAACTCTAACGTCTGCTTTGTATAGTTCTAATTCTGATGTTATTCAGTTAACGTCGAAAAATTTCGATTCCTTAGTTTTAAGTAGTGACGATATATGGATAGTGGAGTTCTATGCCCCTTGGTGTGGTCATTGTCAACAATTTGCACCCGAATTTCAAAAAGCTGCGAAAGTGTTAAAGGTAATTGTTTTAGTATTTATTGTATTATTGTTTGAATCTTTTATCATGATTTTTTGTGTTCTGTAGGGTATTGTAAAAGTAGGAGCAGTAAATGCTGATGAAGAAGGTTCATTAGGAGGAAATTATGGAGTTCGAAGTTTTCCAACAGTAAAGATATTTGCTGCTGATAAAAAGAAACCAGAGGATTACAATGGAGGAAGAACTGCTCAAGCACTAGCAGATGCTGCAGTATTAGCTATTAAAAATAAAATAAATGCTAAGTTGGGAGGAAAACAGAGTGGATCAGGCTCAAAGGTATATTCATATTGGAAATTTTCACTAAGTATCATTTGTCGTTACATATTAAATTTTAGTCTGGCAGTGATAAAGATGTTATAGAATTAACTGACAGTAATTTTGATAAACTGGTGTTGCAATCTGATGATATGTGGTTAGTTGAATTTTTTGCACCTTGGTGTGGTCATTGCAAAAATCTTGCTCCTCATTGGGCAGAAGCAGCTACAGAATTGAAAGGAAAGGTAAAATTGGGAGCTTTAGATGCAACTACATATACTTCTAAAGCTGCTGAATATGAAGTGAAAGGGTATCCAACAATAAAGTATTTCCCAGCTGGTAAAAAAGATCATTCTTCTGTCCAAGACTATGATGGTGGAAGAACTGGCAGTAGCATTGTTAATTGGGCTTTAGAAAAGTTAGCTGAAAATATTCCAGCACCAGAACTTGTTGAAGTAAGTATAAAAAGTATATACCCAAAACTTAATTTTAATTTCTTATATTTTAGATAACAAATGAAGCAGCATTTAAAGAAAATTGTGACAAACCATTGTGTGTTATATCAGTATTGCCACATATTTTAGACTGTCAGTCAAAATGTAGAAATAATTATTTAAAAATTCTACAAGAAATGGGAGAAAAATTTAAGAAGAAAATGTGGGGGTATGTATTTAGCACTGTGTAAAATGCCTTTTTCATAATTTATTTTTGTATTTTAGATGGTTGTGGACAGAAGCAGGAGCCCAACGTTCTTTAGAAGATGCTTTAGATATTGGAGGCTTTGGGTACCCTGCAATGGCTGTTGTCAATGCCAAAAAGTTGAAATATTCAATATTAAGAGGACCTTTCTCAACAGAGGGTATTAGTGAATTTTTAAGGTAATTAGATGATCAATTTTTTTGTATTTTTATCACTGAAGAAATTTAAAAGCTATGTTATTTATATTTTAGGGACCTATCTTATGGAAGGGGAAATACTGCTCCACTGAAAGGAGCACAGCTACCTAACATTGAGTCTGTTGATCCATGGGATGGAAAAGATGGAGAATTCCCAACAGAAGAAGATATTGACTTGTCTGACATAAGTTTAGATGAGAAAGATGAATTGTAAATGTGTCATCTGACTGTTTCTACTTAACCAATTTAAACTGATTAGTTTTGGTTTCTTTATTTGTATGTTACTTTAGTGTTAATTATGTTTGGTAAACTTCATGGCTTCCATTAAAATTACAAATTATATGTTTTGAATGTACGTACATATTTCCAAACCATCACAGTAGTTTTAAGATTGTCTAATAAAAATTAATAAACAGTTTCTGTTTCATTAATTTTTTCATAATAGCTTTGTTTGCCAAGTAATACATAACTTAATATCTAAGTACTGTCAACGTCATTTAAAAAAACTTTTTCTGTGTTTATTCAAATCGTAGTTTATAAATAGCGGGTTTGATTAAATCAGCAGAACTACAACAACTAATCAATAAATAGTTCTTATACTCCGTAGAGACAAGTAACAAAAATGATGATGCTATCATAACCTAAAAAAATTTAAATGTAACAATGCAATCTCTGCAGTCTTTTTACTTTATATTTTATATTCAATAAAACGTACTCTATCTAAAAATCGTTAACTTTACAGGTAATTAAAATTAAAGAATACCAAATGGCTTGACAGTGAAACAGTTTTTCGGAAAAGTCTGGAAAACAATCTTCAGAAATCAATTTAAATGGCATGTCACTTAAGTGAAAATGTCTCAACACAGATTTTTACACCTAGGGAATATCAAGTGGAGTTGCTGGACTCGGCGAAAAATAAAAATATCATTATTTGTTCCAGTAGTAGTATTGCAAAAACATTCATAGCAGTCAAACTTGTTCAAGAATTAGCCTATGATATACGCTTTAAAAGGGGCAAGCAAGCAGTATTTGTCTTAGATTTACAAAACGTTGTTGTTATAGAATCACACATGAAATTACTCACAGATTTAACTGTGGTTAGTATAAAAGAATGCATTAATAGTTACACAGAATGGAAGGATCATAGTGAAGCTGCAGTAATAGTGACAACTGCTGAAGTATGTGCAAAATTGTTATC